GACAGAGGAATTTGAGCAAGTACTTCCCCTTTCCCTGGTGCAAGACAGAAACCAAGGCCAAGGACTTGATGGAGAAGCTGCACACTGCGGAGTCCCGATCCGCACCCTGCTGCACCAGCATGCAGCTTGCTCATGCAACGTGCGGTCACAAGTAGTCAGAGGCTGGGTCTAGAGAGAGTTTTGCAGAATGCAAGCTGAGAGATGCACTGGAGAACAGGAATAACCAAGTTGTCTCCTGGATAGCTGAGCCGGAGGCCTGGTCTCCTCCAAAATCTCTCCTCTCACCCTTCGGACTTCTCAGAGACGCAGCAGTGCTCTGCTTAATGCAAGAGCTGGCATGTGGCTGCCACCAAACAGCACCTGGAAAAGCCCCCTTCTCCCTGCATTTTCACAAGGTACACACTAGCCTGAGTCCCTCCCCTCTACCCACCTGCCAATTTTCACATTTTTCAAACCTCAACTGTCCATCAGACCTCAATCTCTGCTGTGCAATGAGGTTAAGAGCTTCAAAAGTTACTTGAGGGAAGAAAAGAGATACTGAACTGGAGACAGAGGCCAGGCTCCTCGACTGCAAACCTTATCTCTGTCAGGGAATAGTAAGCAAGTGTAAACTTGGAATAAACAGGGGCTGTTTCCATGCACTAGACTTTGTTTCCTCCCAGTTCACAGACCCTTGCATTCAGTCACTTGCTGTACGTATGACCTTCAGTTATCAGTGAACTGTTGACACAGGGTTATGTGTCGATTGATAATAAAAGACTAACAAACCAAAAAAAACCCACTGATATCCCCCATGCCGAGTCTCAACTATTTTCACAGAGAAGGCACCTCACAAGGACACAGCTTCAGAGGGTGAAGCGCAGATCACGGCCTTTCTAACCAGGCCTGTGTGTACATCGCACACGGAGCTTTGGCATCACGGCTCAAATACACATCCCCCGGGGTCAGCTAGGAAAGGACACCAGCAGAACGGGCTGGCTTGCTCCAGACATGGGAAATGGGATGAACTGGATGATGTTTCTTGCCCTGTCCAGGCCTCCTTCTGTAATTTGGACAGGAGCTATTTAACTTGCTCTTGCAAACCTCCAACGAGGAGGCTCGCTCTCTCTTACACACCTCCTTCACTACACTGAGAGGGCGCAAACCTGGTTTTCTGGCTTGCTTAAATCTGATTCATAGCAATCCAAACCCCTTATTTCTTGTTCTGCCTCCAGAGACCAATAGACAAATTTATTTCCTCTTCTCTGCAGCCATTGTCCACACATTTGAAGTCTTTTGTCTGTCCTCAGGCATCTCCAGACTAAACAGTTCTCATTCCTTTACTCTTTCCTCATAAATTCTGAGTAAATTTCTTCCAATCACCTGTGATTCCTCACTAGATTGTCAGTCTGGCCACTGGCTTTTCCTGTGATCCTGTTCCAGGACTTTGCTTGTTATGGGAAGATTCATCTCCAGGAGGCTCTTTTCCCTCCAGATAATACCAAGACCCGAAGAAATAACTAGTGTTACCCCAGTTTAGATACTAAAGGTGAACAGGGCAAGTGAGGGGCACGGGAACTGAGCTGTTAGGAACAGGGGAATTTCTAAAGTGGATGGGAGACAATGCTTAGGAGAAGCTTGTGTGTGAAAAGCAGCTTTTCCTAGATAGCTGCAATTGGACTTCTAGGATTTGCTGCTCAAAATCCCTTCTAGGGTTTAGACACCTAATGCAGCCTTTGAGTAGGACCAAATCCCTCGATTTTAGTTTAAGGCCTGGCTGGAGGACACACAAGCCTAGTGTGTCTTGCAAGCAAATGCAAGAAGCCAGATCCCCAAAGCTTTCTTCTACTCAAAGGGGGAGCACTCCTCCTCCCTCACTGATGTTACGGCACCAGCCAGGCAGGAAAGACAGAGGTTAGGGCAATTCCTGCGGGGAAAGACAACTCGTCACACAAGGTCTCTTCCTCCAGGAACTGCTTCTTGATTTATCCAGCCATTGCAGAGTGATTTTGCAACCTTGTGTAACAGCAGCTGCATCCTGGCCTCCCACTCTGAATCAAATATCCCCACTGCTGGCTTAGAGAGACAGGCTCTCTTTCGCATTCCCTTTTTCTCTTAATCATCTGGGATAATGATGGGTGGGGAGGAAGTATGGGCAGGTTTCAACTACTAGTTTCGAAAGCCTGGGCATGATAGAATTGAACACAGTACTGGATGGTCAGGGGATGCAGCTCCACACGTGACTGGAGACACTGAACCAGTTCATTCATTGCTTTTTTCCAAGTCTGGTCTAGCACTTCGCATTCACAGCTTGCTGACCAGCCCTGAAAACAAATCTAACAGACCATCACCTTTTCCAAGCTGTGCCAACCGTCCTCCGTCAAGGTGAGGAAGGTGACGCAGCGCTCAGATGTACCCCAAATGTCAGCCCTCCACTCTCAGAAAACTGGCAATTCGCCTTCGCTCGAGTGCCACAAAGGACTCCTTGCCCTCACCACGTTGGCTCTGCAGCCTCGTGACGCTGCTGAAGATCACATTTCCAGATGGACAATGTTCCCTCGGCCTTGCCTGCTGTCCCAGGGGAGCCCTAGCCAGCTCCTGCACGTCTTCTCCTTGGGATTTCAGCTGTTATTTGTACGAAGTGCTGGGATCAGAGAGCAGGGGTGGTGGGGATGCTTCAGGGCCAGACTGATGCAGTGGTCCCTGTGTCAGCAGAGACAGGAGATCCCCAGTGCCTGGGCAGGATACCCAAGGACCAGACTGGGCCCAAGCCAAGGCAGAGAGCCCCAAAAAACCCCAAAACCCACATCAGACGGCGACACAACAAGGCCAGGGTCTGGCAATCCACACCCGGGCTCCTCTTGGCACCCTGATGAGGAGCCCCGGGGCTCCCCCAAACTGCG